TTATTTAAAAGTCAAATCTATATATAACATATGCTATAATTAGCAGGAAATCAATTATTATTGTTTTTATTTGTTATTTAATTAAATAAACTAATTTCAATGAAAAAGTCCAGTTTTATACCGTCCTTAGTACATAATACATTGCTATAGAACAGTTCATACATCCATAAATTATGTATGTTTTTGTAAGCCTAAATTTTCAATCACATTCACTGCATTGTATAGATAACATTTCGTTACATATAAATTTAGATCTCCTCATAATCAGATTCACCAGTAAATACCATTTCAAAAAATAGTGAGTGTAATAATGGAAGTGATTTAGTCAAGCACAGCACAGGAATGTGTGGATTCAAGAATAAGGTTCAATTTAGTTTCAATACTATTAGCCTCGATTTCTAGTGTACTATGGATATAGTAAGTTCATGTGGAGATATACAACAGAATACGGGACTGACACTAGACTCATTTTTTGTTTTATCTATCGATTCAGAATCATATTCTAAACCTATTTATGCATCTTGGTCTGTATTTCCATCTGATTTTTAAACATATGTTTTTTTTTTCTTTGTTTCAACCTACAAGTCGCAGTTTTGAAGGCATTTCTATCAAATTTGATACACTAACTTATCCAAGAGCTAGCGCTCGGATAATTTTTACGATTATTCTCCAAACTTATTTATTTATTTACTTACACATAATACTCAGCTAAATTAAGTTAGCAGACGAATTCAATTGGCTCTTAGAAATAAATCTTATACTAATTATTGTTAGAAACTATAAATAATAAAATAAAAAATAAAGAAAATAAATAGTAACTCATGTATAAACAAATAAGAAAGAAAAAAAAAAAAAAAAAAAAAAAGATGTACACAGCTGGTACAGGCGCACACCAATAACCGATATAAATCCATGTTACAAGTGAACTTCTAATCTATTGCAAACATGCAATGGATTGGCAATGGATAACAGTAAACAGCATCTGTTCATTGTCGACTCTTAGCGAGATGTTAAGACTGTAACTTAGTTTAAATACGACATAGGCAAATCGCGCGTATTAAGCATAGTTGTTTCGGTAGACTTTAAAGAGTCCAACATTGAGATTAAATGATAGACATTGTTTCGGTTTCTGCAAACAACTCTGAACGGGTTTAAAATTTCATAATTATATTACATTGAGTGAGCTTAATGAAGATAAAGTGCCTAGAGAAGCAATTAGGAACATTATTGCTTATCTCACCAAGCAATGCAGGCCAGTCGATAGTATCATTAATTAAATTAATTAAGAAGGAAACACCATGAATAAATTTAAGTTTCTCAAGTGATCGTAGGAATAACAGAAGCAGAAGGAGAAGGAGACCAAACAACAAAGGAATACTCAGGTTTTGGTCTGGCTAAGCACATGCATAGCTTTCTTGTAATGTAGCATTCCTTCAATTCTTTGGACCACATCTTAATAAAACATAACGCGGACAGAGTTTTACTTAAAGAGAGCTCAATATGCAAATTAAAATGCAATCTTTGGTCGAATAGAACCCCTACATCGATGAACGATTCTACGTTTTCCAACTTGTGTGAATCAATGAAATACTAAGCATGGAATGACTTCCTCCTTGAGAGCGAAGACGTCTTGCATTTTTTTACATTTCATTTCATAAAATTTAACGAGCACCGTGTAATCAAATTATTTAAGTCAATTCAAGTTCACATCATCAGTGTACATTAAGATCTAGTTGAATTTCATCACCGAGGGGATACCATGAATGCGTAGAATAAACAAAAGTGGTCCTAAGTGACTGCCCTGAGGGATGCCAGATGTCACGGCAAACACATTATAGGTAGGTTTTCAATATTCCTAACAAAAAAATCGAGCATAATATGTTAAAGATAAGATTTAAGCAGTAGGATATTGGTTTTATTATCACTAAATCATAAGGCATTACAATGGTTCAACGGACCATCATGCTTGTAACGAAGGGAAATGCAGATTGTTGGATGATACGGATTCTCAGGTAAACTAAAAAGTGGACAGATATTGGCAACACAAAGATCAAGCTATCTGCCATTACAGTCAGGAGTACGTTTGTATGGAAATAAATTGCGATTGGATAATTCATTGAAGGAGACGATAGCTCTCAGATGTTAAACTGGGGACTATAAAGTCAGAATTATCACTATAACCCCAACTGACTTATGGCAACTGACTATATTAGCAGGTTTAAACATTTCGGTCGCATCCCGAATAAGGGCAGGATGTGCGACCTCTTTGAAAAAGTAGTAATATCAAAAAAAATGAATGGAAAGTATGAAAGAAAAGTATGCAAGTAAAGTTACATCAAAGACTGAAATTGAAACGAGAATTTTGGTGCAATAAATGAGAAATGAGAAATCGTGCAACAAACTTCGAGAGACGGAAAAAAAATTCCATTTTTAATAGTTAATCCTAACTGATTGACCATATCACGCGGTCGTTTTCACCAACTCTGCGTTTGATTAAATTAATACTATTGTTGATAGTTCGATTCCCAAAATTATTGGTTGAAAATAAATGAAGCGGGTGTGCATCACCTAACAGCTCGACGTAACGTGTTAAATATATCTTAATGTTTTTTTTGCATGGAGTCCGTAGATCTTTCAATTAACACCGGAAGGTCCGTAAGGCATCTATTTTTTTCAAATTTTTAAAAATTCATTAAAAACAGTTCTCGAAAGAAAAGCAGGAAGGTGCCTTTGCCAGCTAAATTCGAATTGATCTTCACAAGCTTTTGCCTGTAGATCGTACTGCACTGCAAACAACGATAGCATTGGTTATTAGCAAACGACTGACTATTCGTTAGTAGCAATAGTATGGTATGTCGACATATCCACGATACGAATAAAGCGTCTCCTTGCGTTGGCAAAATTTATTTGTAGGAAAAACGAAGTATGTTTTGAATTCTTAATTCTTATTGAATAATTTTGTATCACGCAAAAAACCGCATTCACTCGGGGTTTGATAATAATTGCAACATTAAAACATTGATGTAAAGAACTATTATTATCCGAAATTCCTATTCCTCTTTACATTCTCTCTTTCTCTCTTTCTCTCCTTAATTTAATGTGAGAATTTGCTTAAAGTAATGAAATTGATCCGTAATTACCTCTCAAGCCAGGTTGAGGGGCAAGTGAAGCCCGTTTAATCGTTTCGTCCATAGTTACCAAAATAAAAAATGCAAATAACATATGCATATACATTAGCTATAGGGCTTGTAATGTACTGTCACATTTTGCTTTTCAACATGATTCCGAAATTGATATGGAGGAGTATTTTAATTTTTGTTGACTGCATGCATGGTATGGCATAGAAATTCATTATTGATCTAGAAAGTATGAAAAAATGTATTCTTTTGCTTCAGCAAAATCGAATGGTGGATATGAATGCCTAAGTTCAAAACTTTTTTGCTTTTTCACTAATAAATCATTCTTAATGAAGGGAAATAGAAAGCGCTAAGAATTCTTCCATTTATTTATCTATTTTCTGTTCATAAGGTTTTCTTTTCTTTTTTTTTTTTTTTTTTTGGCAAAAAGTAAAATCAGTTTTCGTTGCATTGCCCTAAAAAATGTCTTTTCAATACGTGGGTTTTATTTCCAATTAACATTCAAGTGCGATATTCCGCGACCCCGTCAACAATTTCGAATAAAAACGAAACTCGTTGAGCAATTCACTGGCGTTGGAAAGGAAAATATTTACACATTTTTGTTCTTCTTTTCGGAGCATTTCTATTTCAACAAATTCGAAATCATAGCTTCATCCCTTCGGTTTAGAATCTTTGAAGGGAAAGGTAATCATGATGACAACGTGATGGTTGCGGTGATCAAATATGCAAATACATGTTATGACTATTGATTGATTGCGAAACGAAATCTTGTCTTTTTGTTTAATATCGTTCGAAAGGAAAAATGAAACGTTTAGATCTATGCAGTGCTATTAAAAATCTTAAAATATTTCAAACGCATTTTTTTTTTTTATGGCGTTTCCCTTTTTTCTTCCTCTTTTTGCTTTGCGTGGTCGTTCTATGGGTAGGTGACATTTGATTGATGAGTGACTGTAAAAACAGACATGATTTGAAATTAAATTATCCTTATGGTACGTTATGGTACGTAAAGAAACTCTTAAGAGAAGCCTACCCTACCCATACTCCCTACATATTTAAAAAAATAAATAAAAAAAATCGAAAATTGACTGTTTGTGTGTCGTGCAAGCACAAAACTCATTCGATATTTTTTTACAATCTTACCTTAAAAAACTTGTACCATAATTTTTCAATTTAGTCAAGAGCTTTACAATTGATACAATCTTGATAAATGTAAAACTAACTCATGTTTTGTTAAACAGAAACACATAAACACAAGTGCATATCTACGTAATATATATAAAGCATGTACATATATCCACCAATCATGTTATACAAGCAGTCATTTATCATTTTTATGCGCATTATGAACGGTAATGTAATTCTGTCGTTTGATTTGCGACGCTTATGGATATAATGAATTTTTACGGCCAACATTAAATTTTAATTCAATTTCTCTCAACATCATATAAATAGATAGATGTTTGGATATAGATGTGGATGAAATCGGTTTTGCTTAACATGTAATTATAATCAAAGCGTAGAACGATCGAATGAAAATGATAATGGTTGAAAACTCATTTGTATGCCATTTAACTCTCTCTCGCTTTTAAAGTCCTAATTATAAGAAGGGAAATCTGAATACGGGCGAACCAGGAATGAAATATTTTGAACGTCTAGAATACGTATGTATATAGAATCTTCTCACTTGTTTCTATGTTCATAACGTGCTCATATAGCTGTGTACACCGATAGAACACAATATATTTTTTTGAAAGTATGAGAAAAAATTATAAAAGCAAAACGAGTTTTAGCTTCAACTTAGAAATATTTTTTTTTAATTTTTTTTTCGGTTCTACATGCAGATGTTTTACGCAACAACAACAACAACAACAACAACAACAAATCGGAAAACAGCAACAACAATAACAGCTAATACAACAACCAAAACGTTACGAATGATGACGATGGCAACAACAAAGACCAGCAGTTGGGTATGCTGTTGCTTCTGGTTATTACTCATGCATCAAACAATTACAATCGTAATCACCTGCAGAGTCTCAGAATTTCCCTGCAAGGGCAGTACCACAATTTGCGTGCCACTGGATAAATATTGTGATGGCAAAGCTGATTGTGAGGATGGCAGTGATGAACCGAGACATTGTACAGGTGCGTATTACCAAAATCTAATTTATGGCAAATCTGTGGGTAAGCAATGTAAGGAGAGTGGCCACAATAATTTCAGATATTCAAAATTAACTACTTTTCGATACTTCGGGAAAAAGTGATTATATTCATAAAACACAATTAACATTTCAGTTATATTGTGCTCTTATTGCATTACATATACTGGTTTATAATGAAATCTTCGGCCATCCTAGAAGACGCCATTATTTGAAGGTGAATAACAACAGTACCTTGATTTGGGTAATTACTGATCGCCCAAAAATTCGATACTAATGGTATTTATTTTTGGGAATAGAGTTGTTCAGGGCTCAGTATTGAGAGATATTGTAAAATTAACGATCGGTTTTCGTTTTTCACCTTTTTTCTTTCACTTGATTTTTATGCAACCAAGTCTATGTTGAAACCAATAATTTCTTGAGCGTATACAGCTCTTATTGGCAAATGAGTTCATTTTAAAATTTCTTAATACAGTACACTTCTGCAGGAGTATTTCAATTTCATATTTTTACGTAAATGTATAGTTTTTAACTAAAGGGGACTTATTCTGACTTACGCTCCCATCTTTATAATAAAAAAAAAAATTAACCACATAAAAATAAACTGAGTCCGGTAATTTGGAGATCGTCATAAAAACACAAGCGTTTCGATTGAAAGATTTTTTTAATTCTAAAATAAAATGTCTTGGGCGAAGAGAGAAAGAAGTCCATAGCTTTTTTTAATTACAATTCAAAGTTGTATATGTATGTCGACGCAAATTTCAGTCCGCAGGAAAAAGGATCTTTTTATGAGTCGACGATACGGGAGAATATTTACTAGGTTGCGTTAATAAGGGATATTCAAGATCATCTCTGTTGTCGTCGGAAATCAAAATCACTTTCGGACTTTGGGAAGGTATAAAGATGATTGTCATCTGAGAATGGTAGCTATTTAATGTACTCATTCTTGCCCTATGCTGATCTTCGCCGTGTGTTGATGATAATATTAGAGAAAGCTCTGATAAGTTAAGAGAAAGCTCTGTGTATATAGGATAGAAATGTTGGCGAAATTACCGTCAAGCGCTATCTGTGAAATTCTCTCTGCCCTTTATTACCCGGTTTTTGTCGACAAATACTTTTAAGTATGGTCGTAAAGTAACAAATGAAGGACAATTGAACTTTTTTGTCGTTTATAATGCTGGGATATTTATACGAATGGAAATGCTAATAATAAGAATACAAATGAGTGAGAATCATTAAGCATTTGAGTGTTTTGAAAACCAATATGGGGCAATAGTCGTGCCACTCAGAGTACACTATATCTTTATTCTTCCTGAAAAACTTGTCTGTGCATTTCTATCTACGTAAGTGTTTAGTTTTTATCAGCTTCATAAATAATGTATGTCCTTGAAGGAATTCTTCTTTCTCCTGTTCATTAGTATATAGCAATGTAATGCGGTGATGTAGTCGGACCGTCGAGAGAGAGCCTTATTGCATTTTGCCTGGAAATTTAGCTATGCATTTCTATGCACGTTCGTGTTTAATTGTTATCAGCATCATAAATAATTTATGTCCTTGAAAGAACCCCTTTTACCTTTGTTCATTAAGATGTGTAGAATCAAGAAAGGATTGATCGAAGTATATTTGCTGTGAACATAATATGAGGCTGTGTAATTGCAAAGAAATGCATTTTATTTTGTGTGTACGGTGTTATTTTTTTTTGTTCGTACTTTCTTACCAACAATCGCATTTTCTGGAAAAATTGATTTGCATTTTGAATTCTTTGTAGGTAGGAAGAATATGTGTTGTTATTTTAAGAGAAGAGTAAAGGGCGACCGTTACGCATGCGAGGGAGCGATGTGTATGTGTTAGTGATGTGAGCTGGCGGGGAAGTTGTGTGTTTAAGTGATGAGTGACATGGTTGCAGCGGGGAGGTGTGTACCCGATGTTTTTTCATATCTATGCTACTCTCCGGAGAGGAGAGGACAGAAATTTTGACGACCAAAAAAAAAAGTCTTCTTCTGCGAGGTAAAATTTGCGCCAACGGTTATAGTACTATTCAAGCGCATTATTCTTACATTTTAAATAGACATTTCGAAGACAAATATGATATATAAATAATTTTTCGCCAGTTTTGCCCTAATGCCCTCACTGTGGAATTTCTACCATTTTGTGCGCGAAGAAGTGAATAGGGGATTTTCAAACGCCTTCTTTAATCCTCAGCCGTAGAAAGCGAAGCAAATAATAGGCGATCAGGCAGTCATTGATCTGGTGTGTGGGTCTAACATTCTCGTCATAAAAGATGTCGTGTTACTTATTAATCAATTTTGAGGATGTTTCTTAAGTTTCACGCCTTAGTCGCTTTATTTGTTAACAGTAGGTAGTGGAGTCAATCGTGTGCGCGGGTCTGGTCCTCCAATGCTTGGAAGAAGAAAGTATTAGGTTACATGCCGTCAAACCAAGTTTTGTTATCGCGTATGTACCTTCATCTCTATTTTGTAATACGATGTTTTGTACAAATTATTATCGCATGTGACCACCTTCCCATCGCGTTACTAATAATAGTTCGATTTACTTTCATTCTAATAGCAATCTATAGACGTAAGTGCACCTTGGTAATTGTTAATTCATTACTTCCTTTTGTTTTGGTATACAGCCTGGTTTAAAGACATTTTTCGGTCAACATTTAGTTTTGCAACAATGTCATGAAATGAAATAAGCCGGTTTTCCGTAATGTTTTAAAAAACTTCAACGATCGATTGGAACCTGTTGCAATGTTAATATCCAAATTTTCAGCAAACTTATTAACTTTCTTTTGATTTTAAAGAAGCGACTTTTTTCACAATTTGGAAAATGTGCGCCTTATACTCGTCATAAGAGAGAGCAACGCGCTTCGTTGTCAAAAGTTTTGTTTATGCCATATTTGCTATTTCTGTTCGATGCCAAACAAGCACGAATATTGTATTCTGTCGTGAACGAATTTTTCATACCAATCACTGGTATTCTAAAATAGGCTAAAAAGAGGGAGAGACTAAAAGTTGAAATTTATACCGTATGTTTCTTGTAGTTTGTGAGTAACTAGCAAAAAGCACGGAAAGCAAGGATGTTCTCAAGGAAAATGTTTACTAAAGATATTATACAGATTGACAGATGAACAAGCCGACATGACGATGGCAAGGAATTTGTACACGCTATGACGTTTTTGAAGCTTCTGTGCGTTTTAAAGGCATTGAAAAAAAATATTAAATTTTGATACAGTATAATAAAAGGTGGTCATTTTTTTTCATTTTTGTACAGGAACTACAACATCGCCCCTATAATATGCGTTCAAATTTTTGTAGATTTGTCTGTTGCAGTTTAATAGTAGTGAGCAAAAACCTAATTTTTTTATTCCTTTTCAAAAACAGAGGTGTTCTCAGTTTACGTGGTGCTGAAGACGCATTCTTCAACCGATTTGGTCCATTTTCAATCCCGCCAATCCAACATACAAAAACCTTGCATATTGATTCCATATTTGAAGTCGATAGCTTTATTTTTGCAGCAAGGACACTGTTTATAACAGATATTTCGTAGACGGACAGACGGGCAGACGGATCGACGGACATACTTAAATCGATTTACAACTTTATGCTGATTAAGAATATATATACATAATAGCCCTTGTACACGTTTTGACAAAATGAGTTAACCTTTCATTTTTCGATTATAGATGTAACAAGGCTACTAACTCACGAAAATCACAAAAATAAACAGCAACAAAAAAAAGTCCTTGCGACTTATGTGTGCGTCTTGAATAAGGCTGTTAGGCTCATTTTTAAAAAATCATTACGTTTTGCTGAACGATAAAATGTATTTTCTTCTTAACATCTATCGGCGGTCTGGCACCTGTCACACGCGGTGTACCGTAGTTGATAAGGTTAGCCTTACCAAAGTTATCGTACTATAAAAATAGTTATTTATTTATTTATTTATTTATTTATACATGAAATTCAACTAAGACAAATTAACAGCCGAATTCACGTAAATTTTAATAGTAAATCTTATACTAATTATTTTAAAAAGTTCTATTCAATATATAGGAATATGTGAAAAAAGAACAATAAAAACAAAATAACTTAAAATAAAAATTCATGTATAAATAAATACGAAACAAAAAAAGAAAAAAAAAGCATGTACACAGCTAGCCCAGAAGCACAGCCACAACAAGAACAGATCAAGGTTGCAAGCGAACACCTAAATCATTGTAAACATGCTTGGCAACCGACAACGCTAACAACACCATTTAGTTTTCGAAAAAAACAAAAAAAAAAAAAAAAATGAGAATTTAAGAATGCCGGTTAGTTTAAGTACGACATAAAAAAATCGCGCGTATAAAGCTAAGTTACTTTAATACTCTTCAAAGAATCCGATATTGAGAATAAGTGATAGACAACATTTAGGTTCCTATAAACAACTCTAAGCGGGCTAAACCGCTCATAATTGTGTTTACATTGACTAAGCTTAATAAAGCTAAAGTGGGTAGAGAAGCGGTTATTAAAGCTTATCTCACCAAGTAATGCGGTGATTCTATAGTACCATTTATTACTTTGATTAAGAAGGAAACGCCAAGAATAAATCTACGTTTTTCAAGTGACGGTAAGGATAACAAAACCTACCTATTTTCATAGGGATGAAGAGAGACAATCGGGTCCCAACCCAAATTCGTTACGGAAAACGGCAAGAATTGCTTTTGAACAGATACAATTGAATATACATAGCACCTATGGTATGGCTAATAATTCGAAAAATTCGATGTGTTAGGCTACTAACATTAAAAGTTTTAAATGCAAGGCTTACCCTTTTTATTTTATTTAAGTAAATTCCACAATTTGCCGAGATTATATGCTTTCACTGAAGGTCGTGGTACACAAAAAAGAACATATTTTCTTTCTTTCTATGTCGATTTGAATGTTTACTTCAACGAATCTAATAAGTCACTTGATAAACTCATAGTAACCGACAGCAAGATTATATGCAAAATTTATTCTAGGTTTCTCATTTGCTTTAATATTTTAATTAAAAAAATGAAAGCAAAATTTTACAAGTATTTTCATTCATTCATAAGTGAAGAGATATGCTTGGATAAATTTAAAATTTTTTGTCTAACAATATTTTTTTCTAATACGTTGTTGTGTGCAAATTTCTTTCTGTACAACGAAAACGTGTCGATTGAATTTGTTAACATAAAATAGAGTAAATTTTCTCGTTACTCAGTTAGTCCGAACTAACTAATTACGAGTAAACAAGTTATGCTTTTATGTGAGTTGAAAACGAAACAGAAAACTAAACTTGAACGTGAGAAAATTTCATCACAAAATAAAAAGATGCCTAACTACTTCTTCTATTCATAAGATTTTCGAGTTCAACTTTGGTGTACTGATTCTATTCCATAACAGAAAAATTAACCAGAAATGCTTAGAGGGAAATAGCGACGTATAACGAGTTCAGCGTATGTCAGTCAAGTGTTGCATCTTCGAACTTCCTTGACCGCAAAAATAGTACAGAACCATGGCTACAAAGTCTTTTAAAAGATTCTCTTGCGTCCTTTCTACGGTAATGTAAGAAATACGAGTAGATTCATCGAAATGATCGATAGAGAAAATTTACAATCCCTGTATCATGATTAAAGTGCAGGTTGATTTTAACATTCTTAAAAATGACGAAAAAGGTTGGCCACTCTTATCTTGTATTTCTTATTTTGTTATTGAAGTTCATTTCAAATGCATGTTGCCTGGCTTGTCATAACCATTACTTAGGCTAGCGAGCGCTGGGTGGTAGGTTTCGAATATATATATATATATATTCATTTTTTTTGGAAGAACGACAAAGAATAACTGAAACACGAAATTAATTTTCCATATTCATTCCGTCCATTGTGCTGTACAAAATCTGTGGTCTAGAATGAGAATATTTCCCTCCACATTTTTTTTCTTTCTCCCTTCACTGTATTTTTCTAGCATCTTGTACAGTATGCGATGTTATTATTATTATTATTATTTTTTATTATATTTTCATTTTTTCAAGCTTTCACCGTTAACAATTTTTTTAGCTTAACGAAGTAATTTATGCAAATTTATATTTCAAGGATATGTGATGATGAAGCAGCTGAAAGATAGTTTAGTTCTCTTCCTGCTTCCATTCGTCTATTTTAACTTAACGAGAATTTATTTATTCTATGGAAAATCTGATCAATTTGATCAATGAAACCATTATAAATTTTAAGATAGAGAAAAAAATGGTGCAAATCGAAAAAAAAAACATAAATTGTGAAAAATGCTATAAAAGTAAAATTTCGTTTTAAAATCAGTGAAAGGGATTTTTAAGGATCCCTATTATTCTACAAAAAATTGTAAATCGGGACAAAAAGTAAAACGATTAGACAGACATATGCTACAAGTGATGACCTGTAATACTTTTTCAATAAAATGCTAACCTAATAAAATGCATCGTTGAGCAGTAAGTTCAGATTTAAGCTAAAATAACTCTAGTTTTGTTCTCAACAGGGCAACCAAAATGCAATCTTGACATTACTTACATAACCGTATGGGAATCTTGTCTTTATATTTTAAAGCTTCCTTTACTCAAGAAAGCTTTTATATATATAAATATAGTTTTTCTTTTTGCATTTCTTTTTTACGCAAACAGTTTGCAATCGCACTTATTACGGTGACATTGGCAGAACATACTCCATAAAGGTGCCAACGCCACAATGGAATAAATTGCCGTTTCTTTGTCACTTGACATTCACAGCATCCGGACATGATCAAGGTGACATTGTTCAGGTAAGTTATCCTTTAAATTTTTCTCCTCTTCTCTTGAACTATTTATCATTCTGCTGAACGTGCATAAAATGAATGACGTTAAGTATGCCGCACAATTGCGTTGGAATTTATTACAAATACTAAACTTTCTCGACCATCTCAATGCACTAAGAGCGAAAGAGTAGGAGAATAGGAAAGCAAAAATATAAAAAAAAAAAAACAAGGGAAATTAAGTGTTTGTTGTTATATACTCCATGGAATCTTGATAAAAGTTTGAAAGCAAGAAATTGAGTGTATTCTGCAAACGACACATTTCACACTCGTCCACATAAATGTGAGCACACACGGTCACATGCAAACGCGCGTATACACGCGTGCATACGAGCAAACGCGCGTGTAGGTGTTATTACAGCAAATAAAAGAAAAACTAACTTTAAGTTCTTGTTGTTGGTCACCTTAATATAGTTTAACACTGTAATTTACTTTGTAGGTATAGTATTGTTATGCACGTTCTGTGGTTTTAATTCACGAACATAGAGCGCACATACGCACGCACACACACTAACATTACAACAAAAAGCTCTTAGCCATACGAAGCTGCGCTATAGCTCGCCACAGTCAGAAAATATGTGTATGTATGTATTCATCTGAATTTTCATTTCGTTTTTTTTTTTCCTTTTGCCATTGTTGTTGTTGTCAGCTTTCTTTTATTTTAGTAATCTCTCTACGTGTTACATTAGTGGACAGGCAAACAGAACAAAAATACTTACCCGTATACAAACATACACACACACACACACACACACACACTCACACACGCACACACGCACACACACGCACACAAGCGTATATGAACATAAACTTATCCATATATAAACGAACATAAATACATATGCATTTATATAAGGAGCCCTTTAATAGTTGTTGCATAATCTACACGTCAGTCAGTCACATAAACTGATGTTATCATCTATGAGATAAAGAGCCACAGAAAACAGTCACGGTAATGGTGGCGTTATTATCACTAGTAGTGTCATACTTTGGAAACAGTTACAATGCCACCATGTTTAAGTGTACTATGCCTAAATCCAGCAAAACTATTTATGTCCGAAACCTAGAGGAGAGAATAATAAAACAAACGTGAAAAGTTCACATTTAATCATAGTACAAAGGCATCGAGGAAAGCTTAAATTTTTAACAGAGCTCTTCTTATCCCAGATTATAAACAAAATTTTTGACTGCTGCTCACATGTATATGACACGATAACGTAACGTCCGGAGGTTTGTATATGTGCGTATGTACACACAAAATTCTGTCTGTTGTCAGTTAAATTTGTCTTTTGAATAATTCATGAGAAATTAAATTAGTTTAATTTTCAAATATTTTTATAATCGTTCAAGGATACAAAAAAAAAAAAAAAGGATTTTTTTTTTAAATAATTTATTTACAATTATGTTCTATTTCGAGAGAAAGTATTGAAAAATTAAATATTACGTAAGGCGGCATATTCCCTTCAACTTTTAAATTTCTTTCACAATTTCCACAATCAAGAACATTGCGAAATCGGACGTAGAAATACGCGTGAAGACGGACAGACGGATATGCTTAAATCGGTTTAAAGCTTTACGCTACGTACAAATTTACCCTCACCATGCAGTGATAGATCTAAGAATCCATCTTAGAAATTCGTCCGATTCCTGCTTTTGATTCTTCAAACTTAGATATCAGACCAAGGGCCCTAAAATAACATAAATCAATGATTGGTGTGATATTTCATTTTAGTTGCAGTCAGTGAGTTAGCGCGTAGCCTCAAAATGGTGAAATATTCTATACAAAACTGAAGCTTAGAAAATATATATTCAATGTAAACGTAACTGAACTCCAAAGGTATGGTCATAAATTAATTGTGATTTCTTCAAATATCAAATCTGTAATTAGGCAATAGTGCTAACAACGTTTTGGAGTTCGCCTAACGAATTGTACATTGTTTTGCCGTTGTATTCGTCATTTTTCATTACGTTACGTTCAAACGTGAGGGGCTCTCTTCGATAGATAAAAGGTAAAACGTTGAAAAAAGAAAAACAGAACGAATATTTGAGCTTGGGAAAAAATTTTTATAATCCTGGAATTGCAGACTAATGATCGAAAATTATAAAAAAATTTATTATAATCAAAAAAAAAAACGTTTTTCTCAAACCATAGTTTTTCCAAAATGGCCCAAGCAACAACTCGTACAATTTTGGTTGGAGTTCTGTATAGTGTCTTTAAAAAACATTCTCTAATGCTGCGCGGAGAGGTGGTTAAAAAACTTAATTTAAACAATTGTAATGCAAGTAAACGAGGGAGTGAAAATGAAAAACTTCATGGTAACAAAAACTGCCCTTTTCCGAATATCGAAGAGTGTTAATAGCCAGCCATGAAGTTCAATCACTTTGCAAGGCTAGCTTTGTTATCAGGTATAGATATCGCTCGAGAGTCTAAAATATACAGATTTTATCACGAAAGATGGATTACATGAACTCAAGTGAATGCTGTTTGGGTTTAAAAACGCACAAATGACCTTCGAACACTTCATAGCTAAGATTCAAGCAATGACTGGAAGCAATATTATCTTGCACTGTAAGACTTCTTGACGTCTGGCAGCACAATTGACGAAAGGTTAAGTAATATTTCCCAAAATATGAGGGGAAACGGCTTTAACACTGGATGCCAATAAATGAGAGTTGCTTAAAGCGAACATTGAATTTCAGTTCACTTCACAAGGTATCATGGCTGGAAAAATTGAGATAGAAACGGCCGAAAAATAGCAACGTCCCATACATACAACCGGCGTTCGCAGCTTCTTAGAACTATGCACATATTCAAAAAAAATATATTCTTTTATCTGAAACATTGCATAAATTATTAAAGAAGATATCAACGTTCGAGCGGACGGATGAACGGGAGAAAACTTTTATTGGTATAAAAAACAACTTTTTATGCTTTTCCGTAATCGTTGCATAGAGAGGTGATGCCAAACAGAGAATTTATGCAAATGTGTGTGCTATTGCACCGAAACTGACGCGAGTTAAAATTAATCAGTTATTTCGATAAATCTAGAAGTGATGAGAAGAGAAATTTCCATAGTCACGCATTGGGAGCATCCGCTGTAGTAACAAGTATGGAACGATTCCGTTACTACATATATGGGAAAAAATTCAGAATCGTGACTGATTGCAGCGCACTGAAAACTGGAATAACGAAAAGGGGGTCGATTGAAGACTAATGTGTCGATAATCAATTTGTATGGAGAACGTTGATGGTTTAGATCACTTTCCTAAAAGCGAAAGAAAGAAACGAACAAATTTTAGTTATTGTGAATGCTTTTACAAAGTATACTATGCTGGGCACAGTCAGGAATACATGTAGAAAGCGCGTACGTTCACCACTGAGCGAATTGATTAGTTTCTATCTACGCACTATAACCGATCGGGGAATAGTATTCACCTCTAAAGAATTTTCAAAATATTGTCACGGACTCCAAATGGGATTCAATACTGTTTAATAATTAGTGGTCTATGTATGCAATGATATATCGAACGATCATGATCCTTTAATCTGTTATCGTCCTCGTGATATTTTGCAGAATCGAATTTTATTCGCTTTAAATGAAGAAAAATGTGTCTGGGAATATGAGGTAAATGAAAAACGGAACAGAATAGGCGATCACTCGTCAGCGCGAACAAGCGGAACAATGAAATGAAAAGCGATACGCTACACCTACTTAATGTGTTTGTGGTCTCGCAGCGAGTGTTCTCGTACAGTAGAAACTCGTTGGAAGGGTCCATTTAATGTCGCGAAACTCCTCGAAAAAGAAAAGCAATATAATTGAAAATATTACGACTTCAGACGGAGAATCTAGAAAGTATTTCTCCGTATATGCAAGCGGCAGGTTAAAGCCCTGGTGTTGTCTTCCTCTTATGTTCGACAAGGATGAAGCGAGCGACTGCGAACAACGAACAAAAATCAATATTTTTAAAAGACCCCGTTTGATTCTCTAGCGACAGGCGTGTAGATTAAATTAGATGTTTTCTGGTTTAAATTTTTGTCGTTGGAATGGCGACGACGCCATATTCTATTCTATTGCCTCTTTTTCATTCCAAAAAAAAAAAAAAAAAAAAAATGTGAAAAAAGCTTTCTTCTAAGCTCTTACAGTGTGTTTCACCCTTCATAAGGTTTACATTAAGGTATTGCATATAGTATTCTGACCACGTTTCGAAGTTTTGTGAATTGTATGTGTGTTCAACTCAATGCAAAATTCTTTCATTTATTGTATGTAATGCACGTAAGTACCGTAAGTTCAGAATACGTCTGTGACTGTTTTTTTTTTATCTTAAATTTTAAATGTATTATGTTATATTAATAGGTTTTATATGACGGCATAAGCAGTCTGTAGGCATTGCGGCCACATGCATATAGTATTATGTTATAGTTTAAGTATTTAACGCGTATTCTTCCATAGCATGTTACTGTGGCTGCACTATAAACCATAGACAAAAAAATAATAGGGAAATATTAAATATGAAAATATTCTCTTCAAATCGAATTCTTTTTTCCTTTTATTTATTCTTTCTTTAGTGGTTGATTTCACTTTCTTAAACAAACTGTCATGCTTATATCATACACTTTCTAACAACAACACGTTCATGCAATAATAATTTCTCACTTGAACTGTTTTTAGAAGAATTCTTCTTTCTCTGAAAATATTTTTGGACATGCAATAAATCCATACAAATATGAAATATTTTTTAAAAAATAAAAGGAGCAAAATTTTCCTAACAGCAGAAATGTTTTATGTTTTATTGCAGATAATATTCGATAGTTTTACGGTTGGGCGCTTTGATGAGGGTATGGTCGATACCGATGTGGATGGTTATGAAACTAGTTTAAGTCCCACTGGAGAATTGCCAGGATGTCCAGAAGGATTTATGCAGGTATGAATCAATTTTAAATAAATGTATATATATATATATATATATACATTTATATATATATTTATATATATATATATATATATATTCCTAAACGTTTTATAACTTTATAAATGCTATTATCCAACGTTCAATAAATACAGTCAATAGAAAAGGGGGAGAATAAATGAAAAGAAAAACTGTTTAATTCAACAAATTACATAAAATAAATTGAAAATTTTATTGCTGTGGAAAACATTAAAAGCCAACAAAAAAGCAAAAATTCAATAGATTTTTTCTTTAGTGACTTTGCTGTCCTACTTAAATTGAACTAATGCGGGAGAGAAGTCAAAAGTTTTAGAAAGCAATAAATTTCTTTTCTTATATGATCGTACATATACAAATACGCATGTATGTATATATACATTCTCATATATATATACGCACACATAATATGTATACATATTTACTGTTTTAATTTTTCAGAAAAGAATCGAAAAAGTAGATTTAAGCTCTGCGATGTGCATTCGCATATGTTACACATGCACATGGATTGTGTGTAATCAGTGACATATAAATATATATTAAATATAAACAGACAATACGTGTATATAACAAGAAAACTTGGTCAATTTGTTTATGTTTTCCATTTTTTTGTTTTTTATGTTTTCTTTTTCATTTGCATTCGATGCACATCACAAATTCCATTGTAAATCGATAAAATGCCATTCTTTGTTGGGCTTGCTTCAATGGAATTGAAGAATATTTCATATTGTTAAAGAAGTGTATGGGAGGATGCAAAGAGAATCAAAGCCAAACACATATGACGAGATACTGGAAGAAAATCAAATAAAAAGACAAATATTAGAAAAAACGTTCTATTATTTAAACATTTACCCGCACATATGAAAAGGTAGAGTTTATGCATGACATCCGTTTTGTTCCCTTTTATTTCTTCATACCTAAATAACTGACTGTCAAGCAAACAAATACTTTTTTAGTCTCAATTCGACGGCATTGTGATTCTTTATATATATATATATATTTATATATTTGAACTTTTCGTACTTTCCTCTTTCCCAATTTTTTGTTGTTTTTCTTGCCCATTCTCCTTACTTGGTATGGTTCAGTGCGTGCAAGTTTCTGTGCGTACAAGTGTTTGTGTGGGTGTGTGTGTGTGTGTGCATACATATTGAATCTAATCCAATCTATAAAAGCCCGAAAGAAATTGTAAACCATTTAAGATATCATTTATTTTATATATCTGCGCTTTGACATACAATGGAAGAAATTAAGGAAGTTGTTCGTCTTGTACTGCAGAGCAGATATTTCGCCATAGCTGTAAGCTAATCAAAAGGAAACGGGTTGCATCGTTAAATGTTAAAAGACTTAGAATTAACCACTCATTATTACGAGAATTTATATGTCAATCTTGACCCTCCTGGGCCACATGTATATGTATAGAGATTACAGTTGGGGTTGATCCCGTTTTTAGTAAAATTGAACATAGGTTTTATTTAAAGTATTCTCTATCCGCCACTTTTTCAATCCTTTATGCAATGTACAAGTTTTATGTTGAAGGAAGAACACGTTCTTACGGACCGTAAATAAAGAGTGTATTATATTTAATTGCTATTCATGGGACAGCAGAATTAAGGGTTTAAGACCTTTCAAATGGCTACTAAAGAAAGTTACGAGTAGTTAAGATATAAAGTGATAATAACAAAATGTTAATTTCCGGGGATACCGCGAGTGAGTTTATACATTCGAATGCTACGTACCTTTGCATTGTCATGGCGTAAAATACCTTTCGCATACCTTGTGATATATTGTGGCGTTTCTCAGTTCAAATGGTAAGCTCAATTTTACCTTATGTTCTTAATAGCATTTCCTAATGATTCCTGCGTGAACCTGCAATAGGTCATAAGTTCTTGCACTAAATTGAGTTCGCCAAATACATAACAAGGCGCTTGGGTTGATGAATATTCGGCTAAGGCAATGCTCCCGCATGTCCTTTGAAGGAACGTGTAAAGTTCCTTCTGAACCAACCAAGCATTTTTTCATTTCTTTTTGTGTTTTATTTTTATTTTATTAATTAAGAGTTATAAGCTAGTGATCAAATAAGAAAACTGGTACAATTTAGTTTATTCACACACGTAACCAATGATTTTGTTTTAACAGCTGAGAGAAAACTTTAGTTTTTAAGGCCTTTATTAAAGGTTTATGTTTCGTTCGGCCAACAGCGCTAGAAACAAATTAAGCCTGTGTTCTTCACTACCTGACTTGTTCAATGAATAGGTTTATATCAGTCTGTCTATCTGTCTCTCTGTTAGCATATTCGTTTTTAAGCAGCAAATAAATTTAGGAGAGTAACTACTATGCCTCCAAAATATCTAAATTCGTGCGACTAACTTTGAAGTAATAATACGAAACATTACATATATGACCTTTAAGCGAAAGCTATATGACACATACAAACATTGACCAAAAATAAACATTAAATAAAAGGAAGGGATTAGTTCATTAGCGGCTACATTTGCTTGAATTTAGTGTATACGCGTCGTACAGATTGGGATATTCTTGTGCTGAAAGAAGAAACGTCTGTTGATCAAGCAAAAGCAATCAATAGAAGAGCAAATGTAAAATGTAACCATTTGAGTCTACACAAGCGGATTATCAGGTCAAATCAGCTCAGTCAGACGAGTTTTTACAAGTTTTAGATGCATATGCTACACACATATATAGCTTTATAATAGACAGATACATGGGTGGGAGATCCTAATAATAATAAGTACAGTTTTGATCCACGCAAAAAGTGTGATAATATTTGTTCCTCAAAACGACAATTTTATCTTTGGAATTTTCTTCAGAAACTACAAATTAATTCGAAACGATTCTTTCTATTGTGCTCCTGCGGTTAAACGCAGTTAACCTTTAGTAACACAGTTAAAGTGTTCAATTCTGTTCTTTTATGCTAAACCATATCTTTAAAATTTCAAAGCTTTCATTTGTGCTTACTTTGCTCAGTTTTTCTCGAACTCTGTCAGAGATTGTTCAGCGATTTGTTCGACTTATTTTGCGTTCAGATTTACAATCAGTTTCGTTTATGATGTGCCGAATAGATAAATGCCACGTATTTGGCATTCTGTTACGTTCATTTCTTCTTCCCACTTACTTAGATTTATTTTTTTTTGTCTGAAAGTTACCAATGGGAATTTGCTTCGAACATAGTCTGCGCTTGCGTTTAATCTTTTAAACAAACACAGTAATATTTTATATAAGAAAGAAATTACAAGCCACACTAAACATAGTGCTAAAATTAATAAAAAAAAAAAATCGTTAATGGGATTGAGCTGAAAGAATGAGAAGTTGTATTTGAAAAGTGTTGCCATGAATTTTTATTTGGGATTACGATACGTTCTCAAACCTTCTTGTACGCTAAAAAATGTGGTAATTGAGAAACGGAAATTATTAATAATATAATAGATGTACATGATGAAAGTAATCAATATTGCTGGAGTTGAGAATTCCGGATGAGTAAATTACTGTTACTGTTGTTGCCCTTATAATAATTGTTGTTGTTATAATTGTAACTATGTAACAAATACCTATGTGATGGGAGTGTTGTTTCGTATTCATTTTATTGCTGCTCCATTCCTTTTATATAAATGAAACCGTAATACACCAAAATGGACGGAAACTGTTAAAAAAAAGAATAAAAAAAATAGGAATGAAAATATATATTTAAAGACATGTGTGTGTTTTTGCGTATTTGCGTGCATGTAATCATTTAGTTCAGCTATGCTTTTATGAAAAACACTCCCTTTCGAATTGTTTTCAAGAAATATGTTGGTACACCTATCTCCAACGTATGTTAACATTCTCAGCAATTTTGCATTTTTCGTTTGTTTTTGACAGATCTGAAGGTTAGACGTGCTTTCGTGAGCTTAGCGATTCGTTGGTATCGCAAAAAAATTGATCAAAGAATCTGCATTAAGCTTTGTGTGAAAAATAAAATGAAGTGCTTCAACTCACCTCATATGTTGACTGTGCTATTTGGTGGCACTACCTTGAGCAATAACAATGTTTATAAGCGGTGGAAGCACTTCACAGAAGGCCGAGAAGCTTGTTTGTCATTTTGTGGCCAAAAGCAGTGCAGTAATAATGCCTCAGTTCACCGAACTTTAGCTCCTGCGACTTTTTTCTGTTCCCAAAACTGAAAAGATCAATATGTTTTTGTTAACTGAAGGGGCGGGTAAAGAGGGAACGTTTTGCATGCGAGGGAAAGGTGGGCATGAGTTATTGATGTGAGTTGGAGGGAAGTTGTGTGTGTTTGGGTGTGAAGTAATGCGGTCGGAGTGAGCACGCGCATACCCGTCTTTGGTCCATATATATACTGCTATCCAAAAAACCCGTTAATGAGATTAGCAAAAAAGAAAAAAAAAAAGGTCCCTTTTCCTGCGGGCCGAAATCCCCGCCGACTTTCCCGCATATATATATACTACTGACGCTAATCATGAAACGCCCAAAATTGCATTTTCCACATTCATTACTTTTGATATTTGATTTGAAAAAATCTCCTGCGTATCAAACACGTTAAATGATTACTCCGCTGCTACTTCTTATCCTGATTTTCGGTCTATATTTTAACTGTTTACAAGGGGTGGTTTGGATGTCAATGGCAAAAAATGGCTTGGACGGCTAAAAAACTTCAAAAACAATGAATTGGACGAAAACCCAACTCAAACTCTGAAAGAACTTGCGAACAACTTAGCTGTTGAGGAATCAACTGTTTCTAAACGTTTACATGCGATGGAAAGAATCCAAAAGGACGGAAAATAGCTACGGCGTGTTTGGTGCGGCGTGTTGTGACTGGTGATGAAAAGGGGATCTACTACGAAAATCCTAAGCGAAAAAAGCCTTGGGTTAGTCCAGGAGAACTATCCTCAGCGTCGTAAAGTTTTGGTATGCGTACGGTAGCATCAATAACGTGTAGTGTATTACGAGTTACTAAAATCGGATGA